CTGTTGTCTGGGTTATAGATGTGACTACTTAAGAATAAAAACAAATGTCCTTCCATGCTGGATGCTAAACCTCTTGTTAAATATTTATTTTTAAAAACGTATTGTTCGTTAATTTTTTTATTGCTTTTAGTTGCTTACCAACTTCTTTTGTGTAGTAAGACTCAAGAACATGAGGATCTGTTTTTCCTTTTAAAATAATATTCATATTCCAATGTAAAATCTGGAATTTATCATGGAAGGATTTAAAAAAAAAAAATCTACAACATCTTATTTATTGATACTGTGTCAGTAGTCAGTGGGACATTCCAGCAGGTGGTTTGAATTTTTGATACAAATCACTGACCACTTCTCAAATGAGTGGTTTTTTTACCTGACTGTCCGCTGTCAAAAGGATCTGCTATGTGTAATTACAACTGTTTCTACAATACTGTAGAAATACAACATTGAAAAATGTGTTGATGAGGCTGTCTTAGCTTTTTTGAGGAAGAACATAGCCCTTACGTTTTGAGGTTTCTCTCAATATGCAGAATTATGGAGAAAAGGTTAGGATTTAATTATCTGATCATCTTTCCGTAATATTGAGTTCTTCCTATCAGCAGTCTGGAGTCCTCTTCATTAGAGCTGCATGTGAACTAGTTCTTGTTCAATGTTGTTCATATTAATATGAATGAATATAAAAATATGAACACGAACATATTTCATATGTTGTAGGCACATGATGGACACGGAGGAAATCACTTTTCTAGATAACCTTCTCCCTACAGCATTAGCTGCCATGAAGCAAAGGGAGACGCTTGTCATGTCTATAATGAAAAGAAGAAAGCAGTGAAAGGACATTTCCTAACTTCTGAGAGTCAGTGATGCTTTAGCACTTTGAACTCCTTTCACCAGGATAGTGGGAGGGCTGTGGCAGAAGCTTAGGAAGATCATGGAGAGATCTTAACTGCTGTGTTGGTGGGAATTGTTCGTTGCTGCAAAGGCATCAGCTGTAAGCACCTGCCCTGTCTTGCGGGTCTTCTGTAACGTGATCTTAAATCTCCTCCCCTAGAAGCACTTATACTCCCTTGCACAGAGAGGTTGTTCTTGGCTGAGCGATGGGAGAACCATGATTTCTCTTTGCTCTGCGGTGTCACTATGACTGTCACCAAATACTCCCATGTGATCTTTTCCTCAATCTGTTCCTTTCCAGGGACTAGGTGACCTCTTCCACTACATTGTGGAGCATAAACAGATTATGCTCTTGAGCATTTACACTTTTTGATCAAAGCTTGAAAGTTACCTTCTGAACGAGGACTGGGGGTATCATTAAACAACCTGCAAAAGTCTTATATACTCCCAAGGGCTTTTCGGCCCTCTGACCACCTCATTCAGATGACGAGATGGTGCAAAATTTCTAGGAGTGGGAGGAAAGAGCTGGAGGAAAGCGTGCATGGTATACTGAGCTCTTCGACCTGCTTGGAGATGATAAAAGCTTTGGAGTCAAGGCTTAGTGGGCCCTGACTCTTTAAGTGGGCTGTTTGGGAGTGGAGAAAGCATCAGATTTTTTCCCTCGGGACCCAGGAAGGGGAAAAAACCCAGGGAAGGAGGAACTACTGGTGATTCCGTAGGCCCTCAGAAGGTTGCTGCTGCTTGAGCCTCCTTCCTCCCTCCTCGGCCGGTCCCCAGCAGCAGCGGCTGGCTTGCGGCCAGGCAGCACCTTGTGCTGCCTCACTCGAAGTCTCCTCCCTTGCTGTTAGCGGTGATGTTACCTCCAACCTCCCCAGCCCGGTGACCAAATCTCATTCCCTGACAGTCTTATGTTCTACGGTTCATTTAAATGGGGTCATATACCAGCAAGGGAAGTACTTTGAACCCAATTAGGAGAGGCCTGGGCTCCCCTTGTTGCTCCACATTTGTTCCAGCAGTAGCTCCGGGGAAGAAAGACACCACCGGCAGTTTCATAGGAGTTGGCGAGGGGAAAAGCTAAATCACTAAGATCCAGATGACTGTCACCACCTGGTAAGAGAGCTGTCCGTCAGGAGCATGGAGGTGGTGGCATAACGAAGACGGGAGGTGAGCAGTTGACGTGGGGACAATACCAGGGCATGGGCTAATACTGGTAACAGCCAGGAAGGTGGGCGTGGAGGCATGCGGTGGCTACGCTTGGCCTCAGCACGTAGAGCCAAAAGCAGACATTGCTGCTACTTTCCCAAAACCTGAGATGAGGGCTCCGAAACTAGCTCCTGACATTGCTTGGGGATCGTTTACAGCAGATGCCTCTTGGCAGCAGTGTCCTTAAGGGCGATAACAAATTCAGTGTGTGTTACATATACAGGAAAACAGCGCTAAACAGGTAAACTACAGCACTTTCAGGATTAAGTGTCTTTGTGGATCGTACTTTCTGCCCTGATCAAGGCCTGAAATATGCATATATATTTACTAATATTTCTTAAAATGTAAATAATAACTAGAGAAGCTTTATTCGGAGTACTTAGGGAAAATTTAGGGAAGGCTTCTTCATTTTATCAAAAGCTAGCCATAATCTAGTATATAGTCTTTTCCAGAATACAAGTGCAGATTTACAACAAGAGTATAAAATGTAACTGAAGTCACAGTGTGTTTGCAAGAGACTGCTTTATTAATTTCCCTTCAAGACAAGTTAAGAAGTCACTTTATTTAAATTGCTCACTGTATTCCACACCACATTAAGGCTTCTGGACCCATCAGGATGATTGTGAGAGAGGGAGCTGGCAGGAACAATACACAGGAGAACTGCCCATTAAAAAGGTGTATGGAACTCTGCAAAGAAAAAAAAATTATATACAAAGCTGAAACTTTCCTTCTGCTCTAAGATATGTTTTAGAAACGTTCCACAGCTTTTATTAAGGTATACAAAACTACTGAATTATCAAACCTCAAATTACTCATTCAGAACAGCTTAATTAAAATTAATGTAATTGAGACTTTATTCCCTCTGCTACCAATACCTGTATAGCATTGTAAATGATGTTGGGATAGTTATTCCCAGGCTACCACATTGCAAACAGCTTTATAGCACCTCAGCGCATATGCCAGCAAGGAACTGTTTTGTATTTGCCCTGTTTTTCATCATATTCTTTCTATAAGAGTCTGCCAGGCTTAGAAGCAGCTTATTGGGCTAAACGGACCTTTATTCTGAGCCAGTATTTTTTTTTTGTAATGTTCTTTTTGTATTTACCTAGCAGTTTATGTTTTCCAAACACTTTCCCATCATTAACTCCTTAGGCCCCATGGGTTTCATCAGTAAATTAAATGCATTCAGCAGTGTTGCCGGGTGCTGAAACTGGCTGGCACAAACAGTCCATTTCTGTGCTAGAAAACTCTCAAATTACAAGATGCCAACCAATCTGTTGGGAACGCACCCTGGGCCGCTCAGATGCCCAGGAGTGTCTGTGCCCGGGAGTTAGCTGGGTAGGTGATAGGGCCAGGAGCGTGCCGGCAGCAGTCTGGTGTTTCAGCGGTGGGGGAGACGGCGCTGTAGCACGCAGGCGTGCCCCCCCCCACTCTTCAGTCCCCGGGAGGAGCTGGCGATGCCACCTGGGAGACAGCATCCATTCACGGACTTGGCCCCAAAACAGCAACCTTGATGGCTTACCCGGGTTCTCTTTGATGAAGGTACCAGCTTGCAGCTGCACACAGTTAGCTTAGGTATCTGTTGATCTACTCGCATAAACAAAAGCCCTTTGCCAGAGTTGCGCGCTCACTTCTGCATCCTGAGTTTGATTCTGAATAAATGCAAGCGGTGGTATATCCGCACTGTAGTCTTGGTGTGCCAAATCTAGTTATAAATTACGAGTTAGCTGACATACTGGTACTGATGGCAGGAATTCAGCCACGGTAGTTTCAACCTCACTTTCAGTGAATTTTATCTTCATTCTTCTTGTAAATGGGGTTTGCCCAAGGCCACCCTCAGCAAAGCCAGGGACAAGACTAGAATAAGCATGTCTTCCTCAGTCTGGTTTTGCGGAAGAGAAAGATGCAAATGCAGTTTCCTGGCCAGATTTGGTCCAAGACAACCCCTCCTTGCTTTTCAGTTTGTCTAGTGTTCACTTCTTAGACTACGGACCAGTTGCTGTGCTTTGTTGTGGAGATAATCAGAATTTGGTGCTGAATTATGTTCAAGTAGCCGGTATTGGGCCTCCGGCTGAGAGGAGGAGGCTGAGAGGCTTATCTAAGTTCTAGTGTGGTGGGACTGGTTTGGTGTGTGGCCCACCTCCTCCCTGCAGTGTCCCAGGAGGTTTTTGCAAGCCATGGTTGAACTATTCAGTGGGGACTTGTGCTGGTGTCCTTATTTTGTTAACTGCACGAGAAGGCTGTAGCAAAAATCGCACTACACCGTTTGTTCCTAGCTGGGTGCCGTTCCCCACAGTGCTCCTGGAGCCCAGCGGCTCTCCGCCTTTTCAGAGGTGGGGACCGGGGAACTCACCTGGCTGGGTGAGCTGGCTTCTCGCCAGGAAGGCTCTACATCTCAGGGCATGGCTGGGATCTGCTTGGGTGGAAAGCACAGAAGTTTCATTGTTTTTTTATTTTAAAGTTTTTTTCAGCAGTATCTGAGAGTTGCCTGCTTTTTCCTGGGCAGAGCTCTTCTCTCAGGGCTGCCTGCACGCAGCCGGACTGGTGCATCGGAGGCGTTTCAGGTTCTTATCTCTCTCACAGTGCCTGCGGTGTGAAAGGCTGCAGTGTTTTCAGACGGCCTTACTGCAGTCACTGATGTTGTCCTTTCAAGTGCTCTTAAGTTCAGTGTCTTTGAACGCAAGGAAGTAACACTTTAGGACTTAGCGTTTTTCTTTTGGATGATTGATTGTCAAGGTTTGAGGGCTTTTGCTCAGTGAAGTAGAATTTCTAACATACTGGGTTTTTTTCCCCTCTGTTGTTGTAACCAGTGAGTATAATCTTCTAGTTCAACTTAACAACGTCTTTGTGAGTCTGGTTATTTCTAAGGTGTAAAGCTGATCTTTTATTTTAATATTTCCCCCTTACAGCTGACCTGAACAACGTCAGGTTCTCGGCGTACAGGACTGCCATGAAACTCCGCAGGCTGCAGAAAGCCCTCTGCCGTAAGTATGTGCCTGTGCCTCACCCGCTGCCAGGAAGACTTTATGAGCAACACACAAGTTTATTCGCAACTTTTAGAAGCAGAAAAACACCCCCACGCCCCTCCAGCTCTACCTGGTGGATGGAAACCTCTCACCTGAAGGGTCTTCTGCTGCCACCGGTGTGCATGTTCCTTACGAAACCAAAGTGCTGGGTGGTCTGCAGATCTGTCCCTTGTAAGACAGAGCAGCGGATCAGAAACAAAGCTAACATCCCCTATGTATTTATTACCTTTATACTCTTTAGCCGAGTATTTTCACCGTGCTCGTTACTGGAGCCACGTTCTCTCTCTGCCACAGCTTTACAGCTCCAGATCAAACAAAGAGGATTGTAGTGTATTGGGAAGGGTGAGAGTTTGGGTGAAATAATCACTCCAGAGCTGGAGTTGCTAATGGTTTGTTAAGTTGAATCTTGAACCCTGAGGGGTTGTTGCCTTTAAACGAGATCATCACAATAAACATTTAGCTTCATTTTTCCCCAGCTTTTGGTTACGTTCAGAAGTCTCTCATCAGCCATACATTAGTGATGTGCGTGTTCTAACACTTTAATTGTCTCAACTGGTGTATGGTATTCTACCTATCACTGGAGTCACCTTTCCTCTCCAGCTTATTGTAACCTGAGAGCTAAATAATTTGCTCGTAGTTTTCTTGGTAGGCCAATCAGTTGCCAAAGCAAGCAGTTTATTGGGCGGTACAATTTGGAGGGTTATTAAAATATTTTAACATTCACTATTTGGCATTTAATTACAGGGTTAAATTTCTGACACAGTTGCAAATGTCTCAACTCTTGATTTATGTCAAGTTTGGATTTGTGCTCACACGCTTTCTGGAACCGTGTCAAACCTCGGTATTTTTAAGCATGTTTGCTTTTAGTCTTGTAAGCATGGGTGAATTCCACTAATGAACAGACTTAAATTCTGAATTTATAAAAAAATAGAAAAGAAAAAGAAAAAAAAGAACAAAAAAAACAGTAAGTGAAAAGTCTTGTAACATAATGAAAGATTTCAACATGAATGCAGTGACAAAGAATGAATTATGATGATTAGAAATACAAACATCTTTCCATGGCACAACACTTGTTGTGGAAAGATAGTGTGAAGAAATTGAAGTAATATGCAGTGAAAAGTATTCATAATCAGTGCAGCACTGAAGTAAGGAACCAAAATTTTTGGACTTGCAGGTTTCTGTAGCTGAAAGTGCACAAGTGTAACTTGTAACGGGTTTTTATGGGTGAAAGTGCAAAACTTTGCATCCTGTTTTATCTGTGTTACACTGCTTCCTACCACTGAATAATTCTAGACTTATCTTGGACTTTACAGTGTGGAATTGTAATTATGCACTGAAGTCAGTTCATCTCTCAAGGTTACGCTTAGGTAGATTTTCTGAGAATGGATGTTTTCAGAGACACGCAGTGGCGCTTACACTGATTACTTTAGCACATTCTTCGTACTTGTATCTAAGGAGAAGTATTTAAGGAATTTGGTTAGCAGTCTTTGTTCTTACAAATATTTTTGCTTGGAGACACCATCATTGTATTTGTGTATTCTATGATTTCAGTGTCGCTTGTGAACTCCGTTTAATTAGATTTTTTTAAAAAAACCCAACTCATTACAAAATTCTTTTTCTGCATTTTGGCACTAGTAGAAGTAGAGCACAGTGCTGGGTTTCAGGGCTCCTACACATAGCCAAAATCCCTAAATCCCACTTGCAGTAGGTGCTGCTTTCAGCTCTTACTTTTTATTTCAGTTTTAAAATTGCAGGAGTTCAAAAATATATATATGTATATTCTTTCCTGCAAACTTCATAAAAAGCAGAGCAGTTTTGTCTACTGAGGAGCATTCTAAAGATGTGTGCACAATAGAAAGCCCGCAGAAGTGAAGGTACAGCCTATTTCTCAGCGGCAAGAATAGAAACACTTTTAAAAATGAACTATTCTTAGACTGACTTCTTTTCAGTTTGTATCAGCCCAATGAACATTAAGATGCTAGAACAGTAAACCTAAGGAAGAATATGGAAAGTGGTAATCCTTAACAAAGAAATGCTTGTGTATTGTGTTACCTTAGAAGAATCTAGTGTGTGGCTCTATCATCCCAGCTTTCGAAATTATTGTGGGCATGCCAGGTGTAACTATTGCACCGTTTTTTAAAAATGTATGGTTTCCTTTGATAATCACATCAAAGCGTGTTGACTTTCTTGTTTTGCTGCTTTTAAAAGATCTGATCTTCAAGTGCAAACCACATCTGAACATTGTGATGTCAATAAAATGAGATGTATTCACAAACTTTTCTTGGAGATGCAGCAAAAGAAAATACTCAGTAACTTCTGTTAAGGTGCTTTTTTCCTTTAATTTTATACAGGCTAGATTAAATTTTTTTTTTTTTGATGTATCAGCCAACAGCAGCAGGTTATGGAGGAGATGATCTTGCATTCTGGGAACACCATTAATACTTTTTATCACCAGCCATATGTTGAGTTTTCCCCAAGTTCAGTATGTGACCTCCACAGCATACTTTCTCCTGCCTGTTAATTGTGACTTCTGTCCTCCAGTGGATTAGTTATTCCAGGTCGTCTTTTATACTTTTCTTGCAATCTGGCCACAGGTTGGTGTCTAGTTACAAACATCTTAACATTTTTTTCTCTTGCCTTAGAGGCCAAAGAAATATTTATATAGATGATTTAAATTTCAAAATAAGCTAGAAGCTACGGCTCACACAAATTTTTGAGTCAGTTTTGGAATTTTAAGTAGAAAAGAACAAAAGTGTGACAGAGAACCCACAAAAAGTACAAAACATAAAGTGGTATGGTTTATTTCAATTAAAGCTTTGCAAATCACTGAACGGCAATGAATATACAACTCTTCAATACATATCTGACTGTTGGGGCTTGTCTTTTGAAAATCTGTCATTCATGGGACCTCCATATTTGCTTTCAAGAAAGAAATACGCAATTCCTGGTTCTGGGAGAGGACCACCCCCAGTTTCTTTAATCTTGGTGGAAAAGATGCAGGAGGAGCTTAACGTGGTGAAGGCCAGAGCCACTCTTCTTCCCATAAAAAGAAGTTCCCTAAAGCAGAGCATGGTGGCAAGCACTTTTTGCTTGTTATAAATTGAACATGTGTTATTAACTTCAAGATAGGACAGGAGGTTGATGAAGAGCGGGGTGAAAGGCTTTTGAGAAGTTGCTGCTTATTAGTGGGAAAAGCTTTCACAAAGTGGAATGACCCATGTTTAGCAGTAGCTGCATATATAATCAAGCTGCCACTCAGATGCCTGAGGGGTTCATTTAATTACCATTGATTCATAGTCTCAAAGGAACTGAGAGTTCAGCCTAAAGCTCGGAGTTAAAGGTGTTGTGAAGGCAGTGCTCTATTTCCAATTTAAGTAATAAATTATTAGAAGAAAGGCGTCTTTCTGAGACTCTTAGGAATGGGTCTGATAAATATGCTTTTGCAGGATGTAACGCTGACCTTAGAATAGCTATATTTTATATGCTAGTAGGTTAAACATAATATTCCAAAATATTTTTTTTAATAAATATCTATATGCTAATGTGAAAAAAGTAAAATTCCAATAAAACTCTGTGCAAAACCACAGATTTAAGGTTAAATTTCTTGGTATGATAATGGGGATAGCATTCCAAGCTTTCCTTATTCACTCTAGCACTGGGTATGTCAGGCCCACAGGATGGAATTTTCAGAAGTGCTTAAGGGATTTAGTAGCAGAAGTCCCTATTGATTTCCAATGAAATTTATACTCCTGAAATTCTTTTGGCAATTACAAAATCCCAGCGTACTGTCCATGCAGCGTTACCAAGCAGCCCGGTGTGCAGCTAAAGTATTTTTCATCTCCACTAGGACATCAGAGGCTCAGCTTCATCCTTCATAAAATAGGCTACTCAAAATGTGAATTTGGCAAATGTGCCCTTAAGCTGGATGAAGTTCTTAAAAAATCCCTGTATGAGGTTCTGCATTTAACATCTGCACATTTTTTTTTACATTACTGAGAGATGTTGCTTACCAGGACTCAATAAAACACATTTTTATTCCAATGAGAGGACTCCTGCAGTTGGGTCAGTTCCTTTCCCAATTTTGTGATGAATTTCAGATGATTTTGGGCAGTTGACTATGGGCCAGATCCTGCTCCCTCGAGTCATGTTGAATCGTGCTGCACTTTGTGACGGCTCATGGTATGAACAGGACTAACAGCATCTGGGCTTGCTCACACCCTGGAAATTCACTGCAAGGAGTTACAAAGGGTTTTTGTGTGGCAGCAGCAGATCTGCATCAATAGTCTCATTTTTCTGATTTCTTTTGTTCTTATTCCTGTTTTACTTTGTAAACCAACATCCCAAAGCTCTCTGGTTTGGTGTCCCCCAAAGTGTGATGCTGCTGTTGATGTTAGTGTGCAGAGACTAAGAGCTGAGAAAGGGAAGTTCTGTTTTGCCTTGGACATCTGAATTTCAAACTGCAACTGACTTGAATTGGAACGAAAATCAAGTTTTTAGATGTCTGTGACAAAAAACTCTGTTGTATGTTGACTCATAAGTTTAAATGTGTCTTCCTCCGTAAAGTCATAGAGGTATTTATAAGTGTAAATATTCTGCAGAATTAAAAATGGATAAATTTCATTATTAAATGTTGAAATAGGCCATTTAACGTTTCTGGAACCTTCTTTTCCCTGTTCTCACCAGAGGAAAAGTAACAGAGAGTTTAATCCCAGTTCAGTTGTGATTTGTTTGCATATTCCTTGTGGAGTTTGCTTGACTTCTGTAAGAAATGGACAGCACATCTCAGGAAAGCTGATGATATGTACTATGTTTAGAGCACATTTGGTGAATGCAGTAGTCAAATATTAGCCTATCTGTAGGAACATAAACCATGAAATATGTAATTTTTTCTTACATAGTAATTTATGTGTAGTATTTCTATGGGATCCAATAGCATAATAGGTACTTTACAGCTAAAAATGAAACAGATTTCACTTTTACAAACAGTGCTCTCTAAGACCACAGCTGAATAAACAGTGCACCTATAGGAGTCTTGAAACCAGTCTTGCACATGACTTTCAGAGCACATAAAATGTCCCCTGGCCAGACATGTAAGCCAAGTAAATTGTTCTATTTACTTTTTGGTTATGGGTAATACAACCACTGTTTCTCTTCGATCTTTATTGTGGGGGTTTTTTTTATTTTAACAGTGGATCTCCTGAGTCTGTCTGCTGCATGTGATGCCTTGGACCAGCACAACCTCAAACAAAACGACCAGCCGATGGATATTCTGCAGATCATTAACTGCTTGACCACCATTTACGATCGACTGGAACAAGAGCACAATAACCTGGTCAATGTTCCTCTCTGCGTGGACATGTGCCTCAACTGGCTGCTGAATGTCTACGATACGTATGTATGGGTGCTCTGACCATGGGGTGCTCAGGAGCTTTCCCAACAGCGCAAGGGGAAGGGGAAAGGGGTAATGAGCCGTCTGCCTCATTACAAAATGTCTTGAATGTCTTGAAACTGAAAAAAACGGTAGTTGAAGTGAAAGTTTAATAAACCTCATGGTTTAATGGCTGCATTTAGCTGAATCAATACAGCCCTTGGTTAGGCTTACAATCCTAGCTTTATTAAGCTAAGCAATGAAAGAGCTGGAAAACAGAACTTTTTAACCAGATTTTTGTATTCAGAGCAATTCTGAGACTGCATGTCCTCAGTAGGTCACGGCTTTGCATGGCTTTTTTAATTTATTTAGATAAAGAAATTAAAGAGAATTATCAAGAAGCAACAGTATGAACACTATCATACAGACTCTTGCATCTGTCTGTACTGCCAGATGTTAAACCTTTTCACAGCTGTCCATTTTCTATAGCTTTCAATCTATAATCCTTGTTCAAAGATGGAAGAAGTTCATCTCTATTCTAATGTGCTTACAGGAGATTTGAGGAATACTTCGTCTAAAATTTAATTTTAAGAAGTGTACCTATGAATATAAATACCACAGAGTAAATTTACCTTAAGAAAATTTATCAGTATTCCTATTCGGTGGGTTAATGATGTTGCACATAATGCATAGACAAATTCCAACACACGTTTTTAAGCTAATTTTAGAATAAGCTATTATTTTTATTTGGTGAATTTAGTGCAAAAAATGTCAGTGGAAGTCTTTATTTGTGTTTTTAAGGTTCTTATCAGCCACGCTCATTACTGTGGCAGAATAAACATTTACCTATAGAAATGGAAGGACATGGGTTAATTACTGTATTTCCATTGACATTTTGAACTGTATTGAAGTGAAGTGCCGTAACATTGTTCTTCCATCCACCCTTTATCATGGCACTGAAGCGTCAATGGTCACCTATCAAAAAAAATTCCAGATATGTACAGTCTCTTGCTGCAGGATCACCTCCGATAAGCCAGTTGCTTATAACATGCTCTGCAGCAGCTGCAATATCCTGTGAAGTGGATTACCCAGATTACATTATATTTTTGTGTAGTGTGCCAGTAGTAGGGAATGGAGCTATATTCATTTAAGAGACAGGTTTTATTTCTTTAATCTGCTTTGGCTTTCACAGAACTCTGATCCACTTCTGAATTATCATCAACTATAAATAACATATAAATGAAGATACTCGGTTAGCAAAACCCAAAAAAGTTGTGCTAGGGATGTTAATCCAGATCAGCCACATTAGAGGCAGAGAGGGAACTAAAGGTTGTTCCACAGGCTGCTCCTAAGCCGGACCGTCCGGTTTAGATTTGCCGTGTCCAGTCTAGTTTTCTTTATGTTGCACTGTGCTGAAAGTACATTAGAAATTATAATTGGCTGCCTCCAGGCAATTCCCTAGGTATGCTAGGGAGCTGCATATTGCAGGACACAATGAAACAGAGAGGTGTTTTATGTGTGAGGAAAGCTCGTAGCTATTTTGCTGAAATTCAGGTTTGAATTACTCTGGTAAGAGAGGTGACCTTGGGGTTATATGTGTTTAGTTTTCATTGTAAACTTAATAGGCAGAGATCAACCGAAGTGCATAGCAGTACTGAAGACATTTAATTAAATGTACTGAATCTTTACTTTTCTTATAATTGAAAACTGTCATTTGTAAAGATATTAATCAAATTCACAGTCAATGACTGATCTAATTATGGGCACAGCTCTGCAAATCCAGCACGTTTCAGATTTGTTTTAATTGATCAGTCACTCATGCTCATTTGCAGCAGCATGCTAAATTATTGGTTTGACTTAGAAGAGGAGAGTGAACTGAACAACTCATGATTCGTGCAAGTTTCAATTTAATACGCCTTGCAGGGAAATCATCATTCTACATTCTTCCCTTGTATAATTTGCATGAGCCTGGTATTCATCAGCAGGAGTTTCTCAGGGCATAGATGATAATTAATTTGGAACAGATTTGAGGGAGAGGAGTAAGAGGAGTGGTGTGTGGAAAGCAGAGGTAAACAGCAAATGCTTATTTGTGATGAAAAATGCAGGATTCTTTAGTAAAAGGTTGCAAATTCTAAATTCTGCTTTGTCCACCAGTTTCCGTCTGCACCTTCTATAGGGTTTGCAGGGGAGATGCGTGGGTAAATGAGCACCACTGGCTCCTACAACGCTTTCATAGGATTAAAAAGACAACATGCCCCTTTTCCAAACAGTACAGCCTAATGCATGACTATGGCATGCCTGTACATGATTTATCTTATTTCCAGTGGTGTTCTTACTGGTGACGCTTCAAAACTGTTGATAAGGCTCTCCTTCAGAAATGTCGTTTTTAGGCATAAACTTCCTATGTTGTCGATGTCTTTGTTTGCAATAGATGTTATACATTTTAAATGGTATCAGAAATAAAAGTCTTGGGGGGAAGCCAGCAACTGGAAGTAAATTGAGCTAAACCAGATGACTGAGAGAAGCTGTGAAGGTTTGTTGTTGCATCGCCTGCAGCACAGAGGAGGATGCTCTTCTCACAGTCACGTTAAAAAGCAAAAGTAATAGGGCAGGCACGTCACGAGGTGGGAGTGAGCGTGAGGGGAAGGCCGACCGGAGGCAGCACAGGGACTGATGTGGTGTATACCAGCCCCTTGGCACTGCGCAGCACAGATTTGAGTGCTGTGAGGAGGAGCTCAGAAACCACACCGTGTTGTTAATGGTATACCTGTGCAGCCTGCAAGCCTTCTTGTGATTTCTAGGCAAGCTTCATCATTCACCTGAATGTCTTACTGCCTCTGTCACTGCACACTGCTGGCGGAGGCTGCTTTTTTGTGCCTGGCTCCTTCCCAAACAAGTCAGGGCAGGGCTGAAAGCAAAGACTTTCTGAAAACGACTGCTGCATCACATTTCTAATTAAAGTGAAGTTATATTGTCTTTGGCAAAAGGGATGGTTTCCTGTTCCGTCAGGGACCTCCTCATCTCTGAGAATAGCAGCAGTTCATAGAGAAGCCTTTTCAAATAAGGGTAGTGTAAAGACTCTTTACTCTCACTTTTGTCATAAAAAAGGAGGTGAGTAATTGTTTCTGAATGAGACCATTTCTGGTTGAATTGATACAATAGCACAATCCAATTCGGCTACACCTGTGGAGCCACAACCATATGTTATATTTCATTTCTAGTTTATCTAATAACTGGCCAGCATGTGCTGTGCAACATGATTCTGTGTGGGCCGTCATTTATGATGACTATGGTACTGCAGTGAACTTCATTATAGTAAACAAATTATGACATGAATGGATCATATTACCAGCCAATGTTTCTTTTTCATTAGGGGTCGAACAGGAAGGATCCGTGTCTTATCTTTCAAAACTGGTGTTGTATCCCTTTGTAAAGCACACCTGGAAGATAAATATAGATGTAAGTCAATGTAGTTCTTTCAGATTTAGTTTGTGTTTATATTCTGTTTTCATTCTTCCCACTACATAAACATTTAAGTAGCATACAGAGACATTCTTTTCGATAGTCCAGATGCAAAGTGTGTTAATTTGCTCCACCTTGTATTTTTTTTTTTGTTCGGCATGGTTTTAGGTAGCTTAGCACAGTGGTCCCCAAACTTTTTTGATCATGCACCCTTATTGGTAAAAAGTTTTTGAGCATGCACCCCCAATAGATGTATATTTATTTATAAATTATATAGATGTACTACTGTACTAGTATACTATGTACATTATAAAACATACACAAAAACAGAAATTAAAAGGGCATGAGATAAAGATGGAATAAACACTTTATAAAATTTTTTTTTAAATTTATTGTCGGAAGAAAAAATATTTTCTTACCGCACCCCAATGGATTGTCTTGCACACCCTCTGTGGTGGACACACCCCCTCTTTGGAGACCACTGGTTTAGCGCACCTTCATACACAAAAATCCATGTCTACAGGACATCTTACATTACACCATTTTAAAATATATTATTTTTTTAAAATGTTTTCCACAATGTGGTCAGGGTCTTATTATGTGCATTGTGCTTAAATACAGTTGCTATCTTTAAACACATATTTAAAGTATGCAAATTTTGCATATTTTAATAGACCTGAAATACTTGAAAAAATTCCATTTGAAGTTTTAGTTTTATCTGACTAATGAATCGGTCTGTTAGTGAGGCTAGGATCCAGAAAAGATCTACCAGTAAGAGTAGTTCTCAAGAGTAACTTTGTGGTTAAATTAAATGGTATCACTCATTGATGCATGTAGAAAAAACACTGAAAAAACAACCTTTAGGATTTGACCCAATACCATAGCAGTTCTTCATCAATTGTTATTATTCTATTCTTCTACTAATGAAAGTTGAAGGCGCTAAAGAGAAAACAGGCAGTTCCAACAACGGAGTCTATGCATGACTATGTATAATTTGATCAGATTTTAAGGCAATCACTATGTATGCCACAATTTAGATCTCTAGATGTTTTGTGTGGGTGTTGTGAAAAAGTTTTAAGAAAATTACTCAGTACAGATACTTTTCAAAATGGTATTTCATTGAAGATTATCAAAGTTATAAAGGAAAACATTTATTCATGTTTTACAGTCTCCTGTAGCGTGTGTGTACAGTAATGCGTAGCCCCCCTTTTAAGGTTGTAGAACACTTAATGTTTTAATGATGGGGAAGTTGAAAGCTGAATCGTTTGTGGGAGAGGAAGGAATTGTCTCTGCCAGGCTGTGGTCTGGCTTCACCATCCATGCTGAAGTCGTAGAGCAATTGCTATTAGTATTGCTGCAAGTATGCAATGAGTCGCACCCCTTAAAATTTTCTCTCATTTGTGCAGCAGGGTAGATTTGGTTATGGTAGAGCACAAGTCTTCAGGCTTGCAGAGGTGATGGAAGGATTTATCCCAAAATTATGTATTATAAAACTAGACTTGGCAAGAGTGAAATTCATGTAATTAAAAAATAATCCTTTCTCTATGCATTCCTTTATTCCTTCAGAAGAAAACAGGTGTCATGGCAGTGCTAGGAAAGTTATCTCGAGCAGTGCTGAAGCACCTTTATAATTGTGTCCCTGGTGTCGGGTGAAATATTAAGGCGGCTCCAAAAAAGGACATTATTTTATTCTAGCCATCTCTTGCACTTTTTTTTTTTTTTTTTAAACTCTTTGAAAAGTAAGGAGAATTTATTCAGGTCATGTATTGTCAACAGGGATATTACCAAATAAATATTTCAGTTAATGCTAGCCTGATTTTTCTTATTATTATGAACTCTAAAACCTCCTCAATGTATGTGTAGTATAACTAATTCCCACTCAATTAAATTGAGCTTATGAAAGGGTAGTAATTCTGTCCTGGAAGGATTCTCTTCTAGAATGATGCAGTTACAGAACATGGCTTCTCGTGACATTTCACTTCAGAAGTGAAAACTTAATATGATATTAAGATTCCCGGTGGATGTCTGGTTCGGTCGTACTGCAATGTTTTTCTTTCATTTTAGAAATACTCTTGGATTAAAAGATTATGATATCGAAGTTAGGGAGCTCCTGTTTCTCAGTTCAACTCATCTGAAAGAAGTGGATTCTCTGAGTTGTATGTTGATTTAGTAACATGACTTGAAAATGTGCTGTATGTTGTGTGAGATTATTTTACTGTTAAACGATTTTTTTCAAGCATTTATGTTGTTGTGGCTCAAAGATCCTGCTGTTTAGTTAGCTGTGTTACAGAATCACAGCTGCTATTATCAGTAATGCCACAGGTGCTGCGTTGTAATGGCCTTTCTTCCCAGGTAAAAGCCAATAATTCTATTAAAAATTATCACTAGACTGCTTATTTAACAGACAAAAAAACCAGTGTTTGTGAGAAGAGAAGCAGCCAAATTGAAGACGCATTTGTATTCATGACCTCCCAAGGCTGTTGACCGCACTTGTGAGCCTTTGAAACGAAGCAAACTTCCACGCTATTTGCCATATCCCGGTTGTGATGCTTTAGCACGGGTGTCCTTTTCCTTCCTCCAGACCTGTTCAAGCAAGTGGCAAGCTCCACCGGCTTCTGCGACCAGCGCCGGCTGGGGCTCCTGCTGCACGACTCCATCCAGATCCCTCGGCAGCTGGGGGAAGTGGCCTCCTTCGGGGGCAGCAATATCGAGCCGAGCGTCAGAAGCTGCTTCCAGTTTGTAAGTTCATGTTTGCTCGCTGTTAATTTTCTGATTTGTATTTCGTGTCGAGGTAGCCTGTCCATTCTGAAGAGGATTGAAAATCTGGAAGAAGGATTAGGGTACCGAGGTCATTTAATGGTGGTGTTCATTGGTGTATTAAACTGTTCCTTTGACGAGATGTATTTGAAATAGCCCGTTTCTCTGGCAGTGGTGGAAGAAGCCCAGATTATGCTGTTATCCAGACAGCAAATAATTGTCATCAAGGCTTGTATTGTAACTGAACCCTGCAAGCAGTTTAAGTCTTTTATTGCAGCAGCTCCTGGGTTTACAATTTTCTATTGCCAGCAGTAGATCACCATTCATTGCTGCCATGTAGGTGAACAGCAATAGTTAATCTAAATTTGGGGCATATACTTACCAGTGACAGCCAGGTAACCAGGTGCCCAGGGGAGCGATAGGAAAGGAGCGACTGCCTGCAGTGCTGCCCAGGTGCGAGGAGCGCTCGATGAGCTCCTTTCACTGCTTGAATGGATAATGCCAGTTTTCTTTAAAGAGTACTGAAAGAATTCCTGTCTTGTCTGTTGAGGAATACATGGCGAACTGGAGGCTCTTTTTCAAACTTGTAAATTTTTTAAGCTGGGGGGAAAGAGAGTTAAGGGAATTATTCATCCTTATCCTAACCACCAGCAGAATGGACAGGATGAAGACAGCTGCTTAATGAAAAGGTAGAGGAGGGGAGGTAATGTATGGTGTGTGATTAACTCTCAATGCATCTTCTACATCACAATGGAAGAAACGCTTTTTTCCCATCCCGTAACTGGCCCTGGGGGACTTTTTGTTTGGTTGGGGGTGGGGGGAGTTGTTTGCTTTTTTGCCTGCTGCTCAAATTTCATATGTAGTAGTTTCAGTTCTGTAGTAAGCAAAACGCAGCAAGTTTTTTTCAATGAATATTAATGCTTGGAAATAGTCATCTTACACACAGTGACTATGAAAAGAATCTAATTCTAAAATCACCACAAACTTCAGTAGCGATAGGACGAGAGGAAGTGGCCTCAAGTTGCGCCAAGGGAGTTTAGATTGGACATTCAGAAAAATTTCTTTACTGAAAGAGTGGTCAGGCCTTGGAACAGGCTGCCCAGGGAAGTGGTGGAGTCACCATCCCTGGAAGTATTTAAAAGACGTGTAGATGAGGCGCTTAGGGACATGGTTTAGTGGGCATGGTGGTGTTGAGTTGATGGTTGGACTTGATGATCTTAGAGGTCTTTTCCAACCTTAATGATTCTATGATTCTATGACATTTGCTTTCTGTACTTTTTAAGCTTCTTTTGTCAGGTCAATTCTACAGCATTCACGTTTTCCCATTTCCATCATTCATGTCCTGACCTTTTATAATTCTAGTCCGTATTTGATGCCATTTCCAAATTAATGTTTTATAGGGCCGTAGCCTGGATGGATAACCTCTGCTGATAAACTATGCGTAGCAACTTTGATAGATGGATTAGACCCTGATGTGGCTTTCAAGCCTCAAGTTCCATGTTGGGCTTGCAAGTGAGACCAAAACAAAATGATGCTGCAGCAAATCCATGGTCAAAAGCTCATTTGTGCAAATGACCTTCCTCGGAAATTAGGACTCGCTGGATCCTGTCGTTTTCCCAAGTGAATGGCAACAGCACTTAGAACACTGTTGAAAAACTGATAAGAAAAGTGACCTCGGAATCTGACAAAAACATGGTTTTTTGGGAAGGGGGCTGACACTATGTGTTTTTATATTAGGGAAAAAAACAATAAAATTCGTAGTGAGAGGATACACAAAACCAGTTTTTATAAAGTAGGAAGAAGACCTTGGAATAAATGCTTATTTGAATAAAATGAGATAGCAACATTGTCATTACAAATGAAGACATGCCAGCGGGCTGAATGCTGTACCGCATCCAGCTGCTGGCATTTCTAGAAACAGCCCAAGCACAGCCTTTGACACGTTCATAAATCAGAACTTCGGAAAGCCTGAGGTTTCCTTCTCTTACTTGCACTGAAAAATAGGTTTTTTTCTTACCTGCAGTAAAAGGCATTTCATCCCCTCTTTTTCCTTCGGGTAAAGCCTCATTTTAACTTGCAGAGTGAGAGGATGGTTTCTTACCTGGGTTGCAGCAGAACAGATGATCTTCTAGGAGGACCAGAAAGAGGAGGGAGGCTCAACCGAGGAGGGGAAAGAAATACAAAAATAGGGGGGGACAGAGCCCTAGGGAGAGGAGCAGAAATCCAAGTGTAGGGAGAGCCCTGATGGAGGGGAGGGAGAAGGAACTAAGGAGTGGGGAAAAAAAGGGCCACCCTTAGGGAACGGCGGTAAGAACAATAGAAGGAATAATAGCGATGGAGGAAACGGAAGGGTGGGTAGGATGAAGCATGAAAGAAAGGAGCAGCCAGGAATGGAGATGGGAGAAGAAATAAGACCTTTCCAGGAGAAAGGGAGGAGAGGGGTACAGCGAGATCCTTTCGGTGTAAGACGGTGGTGTGGGGGGCAGGAGGGCCCTGGGGCTGGGGGGCAGCGCCAAGGTGCCAGGGGGGAGCAGGGACCAGCCTGGGAAACACAGCGGCCGGAGGAGCCGGACAGCCAAGGGGGGATTGCACAGGGTTCCCAGCGGCCTCCTTTGGCTGAAGTGAGATAATTCAATTTTTAAAAATAATGTGGGGATTCATAGTTTACATTGCTGTGTGGAAACTAAATTAAGTCTTTCTTTGTACGCCCACAGTGAGGAATGCTTTTTCTTTAGGGTTTTTTTTCTTTCTTTTTTTTTTTTTTTCTTTCTGGTGATGATAAGCCAGCAATGAATTGCAGTCATGTCAGTCTGCAACAAATGCGTGCTTCAGAAATGGCTCTCCCAGCCCCCTTAGGTTAGGTGCCCTGGCAACGGCCTTGTCTGTCTGCACAACAGCAGAAAAAAAAAAGGGGATGTTTACTGTTCCCGGCAATAACGGGGGAAATCTCGCCTGCTTTTTGGTTTGAAGTGCAAGGCCTTGGGAATGAGGGTTGGGGAGGGCGGCCTTCCCAGCCCTGCTGCTGGCAGCCTCTTGCTTTTTATCCCCCCAGCACCCACGCTTGGGTTGGGGAGGGCGGCCTTCCCAGCCCTGCTGCTGCCCTCCTCTTGCTTTTTATCCCCCCAGCACCCACGCTTGCTTTTCATGGTTTTCTTCATCTATGGAAAGGTGCTGATAGTAATTGTTGGGAGAAAAAGGGTGTTATGGGACTCGCCTTTCCTACCCAGTGCAGAGGGATGTAATTTCTACTTTGAGATTTAAAAAAAAAAAAAGTTTTTAAGTAAGAGCGAAGAACTTGATCTAATGACCATTTGAAGACTATATAGTTCTGCCTGCATCAAAGCAACCTATAGATCCTTGAAAAATTGAGTGAATTCAGTATTACTGCAGTGTGAAAGCACCTTCCTTTTAGACTTGTGATAGGTACATTTTTAAGTAAACAGGATAAGGAACTGTTACGGACTAAAGGACACACACGCTGTGTTTTAATCACAGTGGAAAATTATTAATATGCTTTCCTTGTATAGTGCAAATAGGACCTAGCAATTCACATCACTGCCTTGGATGAGTTACTGTGACATTGGGACGTTTAAGAAATGTGATGCGAAAACAGAGTGAAGCTTGGATGAAAATGTCTCTTGCTGTTTCTCAACAAAATTTTGGATATTTGTTTCTCGGTTATAAACTGTTTTAAGTATGCTTTCTTCCGAGAGTGTACTTGAAGTAGAGTACTTGACATGAAAAACCAGTACAGATGAAGTTAAGGAGTAGTAAAATCATAGAATCATAGAATCATTGA